CGACTGTGGTACGTGGTCAAACTGTTTCCACATGTTTAAACAATTGCTAATTATGCATGTACTGGCAACAAGACAAAAACATATTATTTATGGATCTATAAAAATACGAAGCTGTCGTGTACGGTATCTGAAGACTGGAGAGGTCTGGCTTTATATGTGCAGGAAACTTTTGCTGTCTTCCTGATTAAATAAAGTATATTTATTTATATATTCCAGCTTGGACATATTATCTTTTTATTACTGTATTACTAGTTAATTCGCAAAGATATTCTTTTTCTTTTCATACAGGTACTGGTGATTCGTTGACATCTAGTAATTTTATTTGCAGGAGCAAAGACTACCATTTGGGGCAGGTTTTTGTTAATGCTGTTTAACAAATATTATATTTTGACATTTCTTTTGTACTCTATTTGTCGCTGATTTGTCCAAAAAACGTGCTGGCGTTCAGACTTGGAAGCACAGGACCGTACTATAAATTGTTAATTGCAAGGTGTGTCATGAACTGAGCTGTTTCATATAATTTAACAGGTACTTAGTAGTACTAGTAATGCTATTAGTAAGGATGGTTTTACTTATGCACGTTGAGCATTTCAACACCACTTTCAATCGCGGTCAACTTTGACCACTTATTCCGATAATCTGATTTTTAATGCTTACAGTTTCAATGTTTCATTATCATGTACCCTTTGACAATGTCTGTGAAAAGAAACTCTACGCCGAGCTGACAAAAACGAAAGGTAAAGCGCATCTTTTTTTTTTTTCCCGAGCAAGATGCAGAGAACAGCGCAACAGAGGAAGGCCCTAGGCCACCTTTAGTTCATCCAAATTCCAGAATTTGACATTATGCAAAAAGAAGATTTCCCATCACATCAAACTTGCGGTACATGTATGGAGTACTAAATGTTGACGAAATCAAAAACTAATTGCACAGTTTAGTTGTACTTTACGAGACGAACGTTTTGAGCCTAATTAGTCAATGATTAAACAATTATTACCAAATAAAAACAAAACGCTACAGTGCGCAACAGTGCCGCGAATTTGGGCGGCGCCAAATCTGGGGCCGAACTAAACGCGGCCCTAGATTCGTTGTTTCCGAGAGGGGAACAATTCCTATTCCATTTCCAATTTGACTTTAGAAGAAGACAGCATGGCATCCCCTAGCTCAAATCCTTTATAAAGGACGCGGGCGTGTTTAACTAAATACAAGTCAGAATCATGAAATCTCAGTATCCATCTAACATAATTTGCACTGCATCAACACAACCGTTTGACCTTCGTTACTCTGCGAGCGTTCAGAAAATCTATCCAACATCACATCAGTTTACACCATTTATCTTTTTCTTTTTCTCGGAGGGGTATATTGTTGTCGCCGAGAAGAACGGCACTAGAACATTGCCAACGATGAGTCGATTACACCAACATTTGCAACATGTCCTGTTACAATTTGCACCATGGTCGGATGTCATTCGAATAAGATACACACTCTAAGCATCGACACCCGTGGCCAAATAATATTTTTGACCAAATAATATTTTTGACGTAACTTCGATAAGTGAACCTCATTTCGGCCTAGAATTTCCAAAAGGAACCAAAACAAAAGTTGCCACCATTTGAGTGAGCAATGCAACTTAAAGGCCAAACATCAAGTCCATAACTTTGGACAAGACAGATTTTGTAGGCGAAGCAATGGCCCCAGCCGCGCCGCGATTGCTCTCATTGCAGCTGCCATTTGGCACAGAGTTGCTAGGTAAAGGTGCTAGTGCATTCCTGGTTGCAAACCCACTTGGTGCTACAAGTTGCGATGTAAATGTGACTGTAGCACTGCCCTGATAGTTCTCGTTGGTGTTCTCATTCAGGTACTGCCGCTGCCATGGATCCACTGGCTTCACACCAATAATAAGAACACTGTTTAACTGCTGCCCATGTTTGGCGAGTGCTTTTTGTGCATCATGCCGGCTCTGAACATAAGAAAAAAAAAACAGGACACACAAGTCAGCCAAGATAATTGCAGAGGTAATAGCAAAGATAACTGCCATCTTAAGCAGAGTGAATCCAATTAGAGAAAGCTATTGCTGGTAGTCAGAAAACAAAGGCATCATAAGGTACTGTCCCATAACAGAGTGTAAATAAAATCTGTAATATATACTGTAAAAATACATGATGATAAAAAGGGAAATATGAGCAAGAAACTCCAAATCCCAACATTATCTTGTACATAGAAATCTGAGGTAGATCAACAAAATAACTCTTTTGTCAAACCTCTGCAAAGTGTTGTTTACAGCATTACATCCCAAACAACAGGCTAGCCAGAAAATGTGTGGTTAGTTGCTTTTATGATAACAGAATGCTCTAGTCTGTTATTATTATTATGTGAAAATATTATTGGATAGATCAAATAACTCCACTTTCTAACTGGATTGATCAAATAAGTAAAAGAACATTATTGCTGAAGTAAACAAAGCCACCAATAGAATTTTAATTTTGGTGATTGAATTAGCCATACCCAGGGGTCACTTTCATTCAACAATTTCCCAAATAACCTATAAAGTCTAGCTAGTACAACAAATGAAATGGTTTATTTTACGCTTATTCTAAGAAACAATTATCTATAAAAAGTAGGTAACAAATATCCAGTGAGTTATCAGTGCTCAAACAGCAGAGCTGTAAATAGTTACCTGATACAAGATATGCACCCAGTTCGCGTCCCTTGGACCAGGAACATGTCTCAAGACTATCCCGCACTTCTCAAATTCTTGTAGCACCATGTTAGTATCACCAGGCGAAAATCTGAAAGAAATAAGATGGAAGACTAATAAAGATGTAATACATTATAACACTAACACCACTGGCATCCAACCATCATATCCATTCAAGCTAATCAGATGTTGAGAGAATCAAGCGCACAGGGGCATACTGGTGGCTTATGGATTTCATGAATTTTTCAAATACATGATCTACCAAAGTACTATCTCGGTTTCGAAATATTGGATGCATTAGGTTTAAAGAAGTAACTTTATAGATTTTGACTAATGATTACTCAAAGTATATGCATGCTTAGTACATAAAAGTTGTATCAATTGATTAACATTCCAACAACCTAACTTTGAAGCAATTGATGACATAATGTAAGAGTAATTGTTATTCAACATAAAAGTATGCTTCTAAATATTTTTGTTCCAAATCCTAATATGCCTTATTAAAACAGACGGAGGAAGTGCAGACACCCATATTAGAACATTTAGGCTAATGTATAGTGCAGCAGTGCACGTAAATGTACTTGAGAAATTAAAATAAATACTGAATCAGTAGAAGAGATCCTAAAACTTCCTGATTAACATTTGTTGGAACTTTCATCTCCTAAGTTTGAAAAATTATGCCTCAACACCCTATACATAATGCATGTTTCCATTCCCCACTAACATGTAGCCAACTTTATAAGTATGACGATAACAAAAGGCAAGCCCTTATCATGGGAGAGGATAACCAATCTATTGGATATGAGCATTGCATCACTCTATCACATGGGCTTAGCAGAATATGATCCGAGGGACTGTACATCAACAAAATATAAGGTACCCTGGTTTACAACTATACTAGCAGACTCTACTCATGACCTCTAAAGTTCCTCTTTGTGACTCGCTTGTGTGCTTCAAGCATTAACAAAGAAAATCCAACATAATAAACGGTCAAAATCAAATTAGTTTTAACCAGGAAACTAATGTCTTGTTTCCTATTAAGGCTATGTTGGTACTGTTGGCATCAAAACCATCTTGTACCCGATTGTACCATGTCCTCTGAATCTCTGGAGCTATGTTGAGGGTACCAGGTCCATACACTGATGGTACAACATTCTTGGAAGTTATGTTCAAAGGGGAACTCTCTAGCAACATCAGATGAGTTTTTAAGAAAAATTACCAATTCCACATGCACTTGGCCATAACCAGCCTCTAAGTGCTAGCACTAATACTAATCTAATTACAAAACGAAACATACAGTTTTATGAATCCAATGCAGCAGATTATACAACAATCCACACATCCTACCACACCCTTTGCATCGAATTAGCTGGGGGGAGAGGCCACATACCCGAAAACGGTGACCCACTCCTCCTCGTCGACACGGCCAGCAGCAGGAACCGAATCTCTCGGCATCTCCGGCCGCGCCACCTCCCTGGGAGGCGGCAGCGTGATCAGCGCTACCTTCTGCTGCTGTGACTGCTGACCCGACGGCGTCGTCGGGGACTGCTGTTGGTGCTGCATGACGCCATCCATCGGTGACCCCTCCCTGGGCTTCTCCTCCCTCGAGGGGGTCCACCACGCCGAGGGGGCCGGGGAACCGTTGGACCGCATTGGCGAGGAGAAGAGGTTGGCGCCACGCGGGGGCTGAGGCGAGGGGGTCGCAGTCGCCTGCGGAGGCGTGGCCGGCTGCGGGGAGGGGGAGAGGTGGGAGAGGTCGTCGAGGGAGAGCAGCGGCGGAGGCGGTGGCGGGGTGGAGGCCTGCGTCTCGCGCCGCATCGAGGCGGGTGGGAGGCGGAACGACGAGGAGATCGGGGACGAGAGGTCCCGCAGGAACGGCGGGTGGTGGCGCCGGTGGTCCGGCCTGGAGGCACTCATGACGGCGGCGGAGAGACGAAACCCTAGCAGAGAAAGTGGAGTTCCACAGTCGAGCGCGCCTTGGGTTTTTGGAAGCCTCGCGCGTGTGAATGTGAAGAGGCAAACAAAACGCCTGTGTCACCAGCATGCCTTGGACCCCAGGCCTTTTAGATTGCAAGGGCCCACATGTCGGCCTTTCGCGACTAACCAAGCGAAATTAGTCTGGCATCAAACTGTATAATTAATTATTTTTACGCATATTTAATCTTCATGCGTCAAAAATTGACTGAAGCAGAAAATCGGACAGAAAATTTTTTTCGCTCAGGCAATCTAAATAAGGCTAACGTTTCGCTCGAAGGCGCTGAACAGGGGATACGCCAACTCATACGTCGCTCGGCTCGAATAAAAATGGAGGTCGCGACGGCCACGGAGGCGTCGGCGCCGGCGGCGAGCGGCGGCGCGGCGCGGCAGACCCACCCGTTCCCGTGGCTAGACGCTGCCATCTCGGAGCCCTACTACTTCCTGCACCTCCTCGCTTTCTTCTCTTACTTCGCGGCCCGCAGCGCGGCGCTCTCCGCCGACGACGGAGGGGAGCTCCACGACCGCCTCTTCCGTCGGGTAAGCTTCGGAGATCCCCGTGTATCCGATCCAGATCGTGTCATTCGGTTGGTTGTTGAGTTGTGTTGGCTCATGCGAATCGGAGTTAATGTGCTTGGTTTTGCAGGAGATCCAGGCAGTGCTCGTGTTCCTCGTGCTCTTCGTAGTGAAGGTGCGATGATCAATTCCAACCAAAATTCCATTGCAAGCTTATTTTCTGAGTAGTATGCTTGGATTTGGTGTTAAAATTGGTGCGAGTAGCCAGTAGCTACTAGCTTCTCTGTTGCTCTAAAACGTGGATTGCAATGCTGTTATGTGGGGCTTCATATTTGTTATGTTAAATTGCCAAGGACTTTGTGTGTTTCTAATTTTTGCATTTTAAACCAATAAGACTGCAACTTGAGATGTTGAATTTGATGTCTCAGTAAATTGAAAAAAGAAAAGGGTCACATTGTTAGGCCATTACATGAATTCCTTCTGTGGTAGAATTAGATTTGCTATGAGGTTAGATTGCATCATATTGAAGGTGCAAGGTCCATTGAATTAATAGCAATGCTGGTTGGGATGTGAGAGACAATGTTATGCTATTCCTTGTGGGATACTTTCTCATATTGCAAATATGCATATAAATTTGCTTGCGCCTTATCTTTTTGCCGCTGGAAGTCGATTATTCACATGCTGTAGGAATGCCTTGCTATTCCCTGTGTGATACTTCCTCATTTATGGCAAATATGCATAGTCTGAAGCATGCCTTCTCTTCTGGAAGTGGATTATTTGCATGCTCGAGGAATGCTCATTGCTGAGGCAACACATTGGTTCATAAGAAAATAATTTTTTATAGGTGGATTTTTCTTGTTTTTGTGCTTAGCTGTCCACATGCACAAATGCACAATCAGATTATCATAACACTTATTTCTGAGTCTTCCACAAAAGGGGGACAGTGAGGAATTATACTTTTCGCCATCGAATGTACATCTTCTTGTTTGATATGGGATGATGATTGTGTAAAAGCTTGTGATGATGTTTGTTTTGCTAATTAAATTGTTAATGCTCAGCAGATTGTGAAAGAGGAAACCTGGGAAACATTCATTGCTGACTCATTGCTTTATGCAAAGGTGTGTTGATGTGGGATGATCCTGTTTTCTTATCTATTGTCATTGACCCCAAATGAAATAATAATCTTGTGGTTTTCTTTGATAGAACCAGGTTACTGTAGATCATCTAGTTTCAATACTGCAGTTAATATTTGTTGAATTCACAATCTAATTCCTTTTCCTTTTTCCCCTCACGTTGTAGGGTTTATTGCTGGCAGTTACTTTGGTTATTGATTATTGGCTGGCCTTTGCCTACTTTCTGGGATTTCTTGGTATGTTTGTTTATCACAGATGACAGATGATATTTATCAATCTAATTATTGACCAGCATATCTGAACTTGTATCCATAGACTGTAACTAGTTCAGTCTTCTCCTGAATAACTGGATCTGTGAAGTTCGTGTCCAGGATAGCTACCCTGAGGGATGGCTGGGGCGTGGGCCCTAATTACCTAATACACATGCCAAACTGTTTAGATTAGAGCTCTGGATTTCCTTCCTGAAATTATGGAAAATTCTTTACCCCATCACTCCATCAGGAGAGAAGAGGTTGTCTAAGGAGAGCTGGTTCCAATGTGCTATCAAATTATAAAGATAGTTCCCCTGATTGGGCTCCTCCTCTGTAAGCAGGAAGGACAATCTTGTGTGTCCTGCTATTTCATTCCCTGAAAAGAAGTCTGCTATTTACTATTTAGGCTGATCAACACCTCAATAGTCCTTATTGTCTAGTTGCCTAGTTCTGATTACTGATTGTTGTTCGTAGCCTGGTTTTGCACTTAATTACTGCCACACAATATGAACTGCATGCTTTTGTTATAAGAGGTCTTATGCTACGCATACTGGAAAGTAGGAAGTTCAATAATAGCCTTCTTACAGCTGATGTGGGATGTGCTGGATGTAGATTAGCTACTTGCTCCTCCTTATCTTTCGTTATTTCCTTAGTCACCGACTTATAAATATCTCAAGTATGAGGTTCTGATAATTATTTTGGACTCGTCATAACTTGTGCTTATTTTTCTTTCCTTCTGCAGTTATATATGCTGTAGCTCAACAGCCACCTTATGACAGCCTAGGTATGCATGCTCATATTGGGTATAGAATATTATAAGTACATGTCTTGTGTGAATAGAATGTTTATATCAAGTAACTCTTTGACAGCTGAGAACTGTATTCTTAAGTGTTGGATACTATGCTTTTAATTAATATTTTGTATGATTGTATCCTTGTTTGCACCCTTGGGTTGCTCGTTATTTACGTATTTTTTTAGCTAAGTTTTACTCACTCATCCCATGAGACTAAAGCATATGGAACTTTCGCAAATGAAAAAAAGCATCTGGAACTTACTAGTTAATGGCTTGTGATGGGTTATACCAGTATAAGAAGTTTTACATTTGGTAAAGTAAGTGGTTGCAAATCAATCATTAGGTAATCACTGCATGTGGCATTTTTATTATCAGTTTTCCCAGAGCTCTCTTTTACAAATTCTGAACTGGTTATGAAATTGAACTAATGAGTGCTTGCATTGGTGCCTTGATGGTAACTGGTTCTTTACTGAATGGAACACGTCCACTGTCCTATATTCAGGGTGGAGCGGGCTTTGGCTGGATCTATCTTATTTGTGACTTTTAGTGCAGTTGATGAGACATATCTGTTCACAAATAGATCTACCAGTTTTTAATGTGATGTTCCTAGACTGGATTGTCCTGAAATAAATTGATTTAACTGGGATTACCAATACTGCAAACCTTGGTACTTTACTACTTTAGATAAACTTTGCAGCTGAATAGAGAGCGAGCATGTGTACTAATGCTTGGAAATTATATTTCAGCATTGGTTTTCGTTTGACTTTGCGTGTGGCATAATTTTTTCCCTATGTTTGTGCTCGTTTATACATTAAAAGCTAAAATGCGACAGCATCAAATATTCTCTTTAATATCATGTGACAGTACGAATGTGAAAAGCATATCTATTTGTTAAACAAACTGCTTGTCATTTTCTTACCTAATCCAGAAGTATTTGTATCCATTCTTTGTTTTCTACCCCAATTTCAAACATTGCCTTTGTTTCTCTCAATTGCAGTGATATTTTATTTTTCACACAGGCCATTCAAATCACTTGACCCCATTGCAACTTGAAAGTCTGCTAACTGAAGAGCCAACATCACGATTTTGGCTGGTAATTTCTTTACATGTTTTTTAATCGAATTCTAATATCATTATCTCCCAAATTTCCAGTAAATTCCTACCCCCTTTATTATTTGGTCAAGGCTTGTAGCCTGTAGGTACCTACAATTGTTACAAATGTGTCACTCATCTTATGGAAGGATTAGGAACCTAAGAAGAATTTGATATGGTTTGATGGCAACCAGTTGAATTCCTTGCCCAACTCTGCGCAACTAAATTTAGAGACTATAACTTTAGTGCATATGATTAAAATATAGTTTGTCTACTTTGACAGCCACAGTATCAAAATCTGACCACCTTAAGAAGTTTGGAGTCTTCTCATTTTCTTTTTTGGTTAGTGAGGGAACTTGTAGGAGTTCCTTTTTTAAGAATCACCCAGAGGTTTCTTGCCCATAAAGTTAGGTGTGTGTTTTAATTTCCTGGTTCTTTGATGACTGGATATTTTTATTTCAATGCAAACAGGTAGAATTCGAACTTCATTTTCATCAAAATGTATACAAGCAAGCAGCGTTCTGCCTGAACTTTCTATTATGTAAGTATTTATTGAAATTTCTGATTGTTTACTACCTTGTGGAGTTTCCATTCTGTGCTGTAAGGTAGTATTAAGATCCTACAAGGCTACAACAAAATCTCATTGCCATGATGGGAGTTTGAGACTCAACTGAAAGCATTAAATTTTCCGTGTCATTCTTTCTTGCAGTTACACGGCACTAACCATTATTTGCTCTTGAAATACACTATTTAACTGATCTATGCTTCCCAATCAATATCTCCAAGTTAGTTTAAGAAACTATTCAGAGTACTTTCCTTTTGTCCTGAACATAGCATGGCTCATGTTTTTCTATTAATTGCATTTTCACATTCTATTAATGCAGGTACTCCAACAAGAACATCTCTTTTGGAATAATTGACCTTGGGCATTTCCCAAATGCTGCAGCAAAATTTGGGATATCCATGTGGGGTAATTTTTTTTTGCTTCATTTATCTGCTTCATTGTTTACTCTTATCTGTTTGGGTTGGAGATTTGGAGTGCTTGCATTTCAGTCTTATATGCTCTATTAACTCTTGACTTGATTTCTTTGAACAGATCATCTTCCCACTTACATATTGTTTGACAAGGTGACTGAAGTTTCTCGGTTTCCAGAAATCACAAGTGAATCAAAAGTATTTGTGCCAAAAGTTACTAAGGTTATTTTCATCACCTTTTGTTTTTATGGTTTATCATATTTCCCTTTTTATGGATCGACCTACATGAGTTTACATTACTTCTGACGTTTTGATCAACATGTCCTTTGGTAAGGGTTAATGCTACTTGAAAATTATACAACTATATGCCTAAGTGTAAATATATTAGTTTTCATATATGTTATTTGAAGAGCTTAAGGGTCCATTTGGTTTTGAACACCTAGGGATGGGATGGTCCTGTCCCTAGTTTTTGGCGTGGGGTGATCCAAATAGCTTGTTTGGTTCTAGGGACAGAATCATCATTGTTTCTTGTTTGGTTGAGGGAGTGAAGAGGACATCGACAAGAAGTCTGTCAACCAATGGTTGACACTGCAGCTTGTGTGTGTCCCAAGTGTTAGTGGAGCATAGCATCTCCATGGGGTGCTCGAATCTCCATGGGCGCCGCCACCATGCCCAACTTGGCTCCACCACACCCCCACCAAACTATCTCCATGGGCATCTTCTTCATGTAGCTTGGCGGCCATGGTCACGGCAGATCGGTGCCCCCGCTCGGCTCCTCTCTGTTTGGCCACCCCTGTTAGGCTCCTCCCACTTCGACCACCCTGCTTGGTTCCTCCCTCTTCGTTCGCCCCTACTCAGCTCTGACCGGCCTTGCTTGGCTCATCCTAGATCGACGCCCCCGCTCAGCTCCGGCTGCCTTGGCATTGCTGTTTCTACGCAGGGCACGGTGGGGCCTGCGTCGGGTGCAGTGGGGGCGCGTGGTGGGGCATGCAGTGTCACGGTGCAGCGTCCGGCGTGCATGGAGGAGGAAGAAGGACCAAAGCAGGCGGAAGAAGAAACATGAACAATAACGGTGTCGGGAGGGGACAAGATGGTTCGACCAATTCTGAGGGACACCTGGGGACGGCATCTTAGGAGAATATACCCTCCAACTCCGAGGGATGGTTCCATTCCACATGTTCCAAAACCAAACACTCTGTCCCGTGTCAGAGTACACAAGAAGCGGGTGGCAAGGAAGAGCGCCACTACTGTTGGGCGTCCGACAATAGCTACTACGGCGACGACGTCTGTCAAATAACGGGTTAGCGACTCCGTTAGTCATCCGAGGCTTAGACACTTAAGGCGGTTGATCACCGTTTGTAACAACGTTGTCTGTTGGCGTATAAATCGCCCCGTAACCGACGGAGTCGGCATCGAGCAATTGAACTCTGAACTCTCTGAAAACCAACTCTGAATAAACTCTGTTCCCGTCCTTTGCTGTTCTTCCCACTCCTGCCTCTTCAAACTCCATTCTATCTCTAGTTATCCGTCAGAATCTCAGTAGATTCGTGACAATTGGTATCAAAGCCGTCGTGATTCTCCTCCTTGACCGCGCTCGTAATTCCAGACGGCAGGAATCCGGGTTCCGCTTCGGTGTTGAACTCGTGATTTCAGAGGTCTGTGTTTTGGTTGAGCGGGTCGGTGGTGATCGCGGGTTGTCGCGCTGGTTGGTTGATCCTCATCCTGGCGCCGAAGAAGAAACCCACCAAGTTCCAGCAGCAGATGGCCAAGTCAGTAGAGGAACTCTTGTCCCAGTTCGACAAGATGTTGAAGCAGTTCACGGGGTTTCAGGCGATGATGCAGAAATTGCGTTGGACTCGCTCAACGCCATGGGGCGTGGCGAGCAACCGCCGACCAGGCGTTCGGCGATTTGCATCAGCGGGCGGAGGGCACCTCTTCTTCTCTGGAGGCTGTCACGGCGGGTTGATCTCGCCGTCGTCGTATATGGACTCGTTGGTGGCGCGGCTGACGATGGCTCCCGCAACCGCACCGCTGCTTCACCCTCCACCAGGGTCGAGGCCGATGGACCTCAACCTTGCTCCCGGATCGTCCTCGTGCTCACCTGTGAGGGACGGGGAGCGGCCCAAGGGGCACGGCGAACACTGCGGCGGGATCCTCGGACCCCGGCCGCAGGACTTCGGCAAGGGTATGTTTGCGAATCCACCTCCTGTCGTTACAGTTGATGATGTTGCACCTGCAACTGTCGTTCTCCTCCTTTCCCGAAAATGGAGTTTCCGAAATTTGATGGAGATTTTCCTCGCCTTTGGCGGGATCAATGCGAGGTATTCTTCGAGGTGTACGCGGTGCATCCATCTCTGAAGATGCGATTTGCTATCCTGAATTTCAAAGGAGTTGCTGCATCTTGGCTGCAAACGATTCAGAGAAATGGGCGCATCACTGATTGGGATAAGCTCTGTGATCTTGTGACGAGCAAGTTTGACAGGAATCAGTGCCAACTCTTGCTGAAACGATTTGACAAATTGAAGCAGAAGGACTCGGTGGAGGAATATCAGCTCGAGTTTGAGAAGCTTGCCCAGGGTCTTTTGCTGTACAATGATGCCTATATTTCGTGACTCGTTTTGTGGATGGTCTTAAGGAGGAGATTCGTTCAGTCATAGCCCTGCATTGGCCACCAGATGTTGACACGGCCAGTGCGTTGGCTTTGCTTCAAGAAGAGATTGCTAGAAGCAAGAGCAAGTTTGGGGGTTACCCACGTGGCCATGTCAGGATGGGCTATGAAAAGACCAAGACATCTGAAGTTGAGAAAGGGAAGGGTGAGGGCCACAGTAAAGAATCTGAAGATAAGTTGGCTGCTCTGAAGGAGGCAAGGAGAAAGAATGGCTTGCGTTTCAAATGTGGAGCCAAGTGGGGTCATAATCACAAATGTGCTACTCAGATACCCCTGCATGTCTTGGAGGAAATTTTGGATGCACTGGAGCCAACAGATGATAGTGACTCTGATGGGCCTGAACAAATGGAGGATGAAGTTATAGCAACTGTATCTCAATCTAGCTCTTTGGATTCTATCAGAAGGAGGACAATGAGAATCTGTGGTCACATTGGCAAAGTGAATGTACTCATTTTGGTGGATTCAGGTAGTGTGGGGTCATTCATCAGTGATAAGTTAGCTGCTCAACTTCAAGTGAAGACTGTACCTTGCCCTCCTGTCCAGTTAATGGCTGCTGATGGTAGTCCTATGGTGTGTGATCAGAGGATACCAAATTTACAGTGGACTGCATAGAACCATACATTTGTCACTGCTGTGGGTGTCATTCCACTTAGGTGTTTTGACATGATTGTGGGGGCTGATTGGCTTGAGGAGCATAGTCCCATGTGGGTTCATTGGGGCAAGAAAATCATGAGGTTCACTGCTGCTGGGAAAAGAGTGACTCTATTGGGTTTGAATCAAGAGTTAGTTCAGTGTCCAGGGGTCTCTAACCAAGCTCTCAGAGGCTTACTTAACAGACAGGCTGTGACCCATTGTATTCAGCTTAGGATTGATTTATCTCAGTCTGTGAGGTTTCATGAGACTCTGGCTGCTGCTAGCATTTCTGAGCAAGGAATTCATCAGTCAGTAGAACAGTTGTTGGATCAGTTTGCTGACATCTTTCAGACTCCTACTACTCTTCCTCCACAAAGACCCTTTGATCACAGGATACCACTGTTGCCTGGTGCTCAACCAGTCAATGTCAGAGCTTATAATACTCACCTGCCCAGAAAGATGAAATTGAGAAGCAACTGTCTGAAATGTTGCAGAATGGTATTATTAGGCCCAGTGAAAGCCCTTATGCCTCCCCAGTGTTGCTGGTCAGAAAAAAGGATGGCACATGGCGGTTTTGTGTTGACTACAGGCACTTAAATGCTCAGACAGTGAAAAACAAACATCCCATGCCTATTGTGGAAGAGTTGATTGATGAACTAGCTGGAGCACAGTGGTTCTCCAAACTTGATTTTAGAGCTGGGTATCATCAGCTGTGTATTCACCCTGATGACACTCATAAGACAGCTTTTAAAACACATAGTGGGCTGTATGAGTTCTTGGTCATGGCTTTTGGGCTTACAAATGCACCAGCAACTTTTCAAGGAATCATGAATCACATATTTGTTCATCTTCTAAGAAAAGGAGTCATCATTTTCATGGATGATATTTTGGTCTACTCAGCTACATTGGATGAGCATTTGGCACTACTGCAGCAAGTATTCCAGGTTATCAGAGAACACCAGTTTTTCTTGAAAAGATCCAAATGCTTCTTTGCTCAAAAGGAAGTGGAGTATCTTGGTCACTGCATATCTGGGGTTGGTGTAGCCACTGAGCCATCCAAGATTGTTGCTGTGCAGGAGTGGCCTAGACCCCAGAACCTGAAAGAGTTAAGAGGCTTCTTGGGATTGACTGGTTACTACAGGAAGTTTATCAAGCACTATGGCATGATCAGTAAACCCCTATCTGATTTGCTTAAGAAGGCTAGTCCTTTTGTTTGGACATCAGTGACTGAGGGAGCCTTCAACCAACTGAAATCTGCCTTAACTCAGGCACCAGTGTTAGCTATACCTGATTTCCAGAAGCAATTTGTTTTGGAAACTGATGCCAGTGACATAGGTTTTGGGGCTGTTCTGATGCAGGAGGGACATCCAGTGGCCTATCTAAGTAAACCTGTGTGTGCCAAGAACCAAGCATTGTGTACATACTTAAAAAGGAGTGCATGGCCATAATTATGGCAGTTGAAAATGGAGAGCATATTTACAGCATCAAGAATTCATTATCAAGACTGATCATAGAAGTTTATTACATCTGTCTGACCAAAGGGTAACAACAAAGCTCCAGCAAAAGGCTCTCTTGAAGCTCATGGATCTACAATTCAAAATACAGTACAAAAAAGGTACTAGTAACCAAGCAGCTGACTCATTGTCCAGGTGTTCTTCTCATCTCACAGTTACAGCTGTTGCTATTTCCAACCCTGAGTGGTTAGCCAGAGTCAAAGAAGGGTACTCTGATGATCCTGTTGCAGTTAAGCTTTTGAAGGAATTATCTGACAATCCTGCTGCAACCAGCTCCTTTTCCTTGCATGATGGTATTGTGAGACATAAAGGGAGAGTTTGGCTGGGAAATAATAAGTTGGCTCAGCAGCATGTAGTTCAGGCTATGCACAGCAGTGCTGTGGGAGGTCATTCTGGAGTCCAGGCTACATATTATAGGATCAGGCAGCTCTTTACTTGGCCTGGAATGAAGAGTACCATTTCTGAATTCATCAAATCTTGTGCTATATGTCAGCAAGCCAAGGTGGAGCACACCAAGCCTGCTGGATTACTTCAGCCCTTACCTGTTCCACAGCAAGCCTGGAAAGTGGTATCCATGGATTTTGTGGAGGGGTTGCCCAAGTCTTCAAGGTTTGATACTATTTTGGTGGTGATTGATAAGTACACTAAGTATGGCCATTTCATTCCACTAGCTCATCCTTTTACTGCACTACAAGTAGCTCAGGCCTTTATGGAGCATGTTTACAAGTTACATGGGCTACCTGAAAGCATTATATCTGACAGGGACAAGATATTTACTAGTGCCTTTTGGAGAGATTTGTTCAAACTCACTGATACACAATTACTGATGAGCTCTTCTTATCACCCTCAAACTGATGGTCAGACTGAGAGATTGAACCAATGCTTAGAGGGCTTTCTTAGATGCAGTGTTCATTCCTGCCCCAAACAATGGGCCAAGTGGTTACCCTTAGCTGAATTCTGGTACAATACATCTTATCATTCAGCTCTGGGTAGGTCTCCTTTTGACCCTATGGGCATTCTCCTAGGCCACTTTGTCATCACCAATGAAGTTCACACTCATGCCCCTGATCTGGAGCAATGGCTAGTAGAAAGGAATTTGCTGCAGGATGTGATTCAGCACAATCTGTTGAGAGCTCAACATAGAATGAAACATTATGCTGATTTGCAGCGTTCAGAGAAGGAATTTGTTGTTGGAGATATGGTTTATTTGAAGCTTTAACCTTACATTCAGTCCTCGGTAGCTCCAAGGAGTAATCTGAAGCTGAGCTTTCGGTACTATGGTCCTTTCAAGGTGATAGCCCGTGTGGGTGCAGTGGCTTACCATTTACTGTTGCCAGATGATTGCAGGATTCATCCTGTAGTACACATCTCCCAGCTCAAGCGCCATATTCCTGCTTCAGCCTCTGTGGATGATGATATCAGTGCTATACCTGATGATCCTACAGCCAGTGTTCAACCTGTTCACTTTCTGGACTCTCGGATGGTGAAGAAGGGAGCTTCACATTTATCTCAGATCAAAGTACAGTGGTCAGGCCTGCCGGTCTCCTTGACTACCTGGGAGGAAGCTTCTGATCTACGTCGTCGCTTTTCAACTTGTGCAGCTTGGGGGCAAGCTACCTTTCGAGGAGAGGCCAATGTCAGAGTACACAAGAAGCGGCTGGCAAGGAAGAGCGTCGCTACTGTTGGGCGTCCGACAACAGCTACTACAGCGACGACGTCTGCTCAGATAACGGGGTAGCGACTCCGTTAGTCATCCGAGGCTTAGACACTTAAGACGGTTGATCACCGTTTGTAACAGCGTTGTCTGTTGGCGTATAAATCGCCCTGTAACCGACGGAGTCGGCATCGAACAATTGAACTCTGAACTCTCTGAAAACCAACTCTGAATAAACTCTGTTCCCGTCCTCTGCTGTTCTTGCTGTTCTTCCCACTCCTGCCTACTATTGGTGTGGCTGGTTATTCTAATTGGCGGATAAGAGATAACCATGATCCTGTAATGGAAAAGGTAGCTGGGAGATAAGTTAGTTTGGATAGTGGGGTTAAGGAAACACAAAAGCAATAGGTGGAAGTTAAGTAATGAATTATTGCCTACCTAATAACCTAAAGAATGGCGTGTAAGAAGACAACAAGAAATACAGTTTGACACTCCAGTTCACTTTCATTTTAGTTTCGATATTACATCTGGGTTGATTATCTGGCTTTATACTTCAATCGAAGTACTGTTGTGAGTCGTGACCAACTTGTTGACATGCCAATGATTGAACTCCTGAAACTTCAGTTAGCTATCGAGTCTTTCTCAATGGGCCAGCATGAAATTCAATTATGTGATGGTTAATATCATGCCTGTGTATTTCTTGCAGAAACTTCTTTGCCAGCATTTTGATCTTGACAGACGATTGATTGGATACCTATCTACCTGTAAGTCAGCCAGAGATGACTTTCACTGTCTTTTTCACTTCATCATCTACGGAACATATGTTAATCAAATACATCCTGTCACAGGATCTGTCATCTATCCCAGATGCCTAGGATGGGGACATTTCCTTTTTTGTCGCTGAATCGGACATCTGTGTGGCAGCAATCACTTCAGGGGTATCTTGAGCCTTGTATTATTCGATGATTTGCTTATGCCCTTTTAATCAAGGCCAGTAAACTTTGTGGTGAAAAAAAACACACCTATTTTTGTCTAATCTGTCAGCTACTGAATTATAGAATTTCACTACCATGCAGAAATTTCTGTAATGATTTGCCGACTATGTTTTGTGACTGCAGCAGCAGTCAATTCAGACACCATTCATTTCCACTGAGCAGGGGTGTCCCGGAATTTGTTCGGCTCCGCTCCTTTTCCATGTGTTAGTGGCCTGCACGGTAGGTCTTCCTGGCTCCCCTCCATTCCATTTCATTATCTGCCATGCCTGATGCTTTACTTAGCCGATTTATGCCTTAAATATGCTTAGTGCTCTCTGATAATCCTAATTAAAAAACCAAATCATTCGATTTGGCCACCACCATTGTCAAGTGGAGGAAAAGTCTGATTTTGGTGGTATTGTTAAGAAGCCTGAATGCCTGATTGCCCAGTAAAAGGAGGGATTGGTGATGTGTTGGAAAATTTAGAATAATACTATTGTGCAAAAGTGGGGTTAGGTTGGGTGTTCAACAGTTGGGCCCCCCTTGCTAAGGTCACCTTGGGATGATATATAGCAAATCTGGGGAGGCCAAATTGGGTGTTTGGGTTGGGTTGGATGGTTGATTGGTTTAGAATAGTCATAGAGAACACAAAAGGCGTGCATATCCAGGCCATGACACGTCAGACCCAGGTAAGTGGTTGGTAGTGGGATAGGACAAGCCCTAGCTTTTTAGCTTTGGCCAGCTTTTCCATTTTCTTATGTTTTGCAAAGCATGTAGTATCTCCCCTCTCATCACAGGAAAGAACATGGGAGGATCTCTTTTTGAGTTTTGATATGAGAGAAAGCGTGGTCTTGGCAAGTGCCATGTGGACCAGTGTTGAATAGTGGGTTGGCTTGCAGCTGTCAAGCTGATAGCCTGCAACTTTCCTCCTTCCATGGTCCAGGCTTGAGGCTCGGCCGACCACACGTAGGGTACGCTGTATCCGTATTTCTAGTACCAATACCTCATCATTGCCAATTGAAGTATACTTGCTCAGGTGGAAAATAATAAATGACTGTCAATTCGTTTTCTGTTAGATTCAAACAGAAATGTCTAGTGCTTTTAGTCGACGATTCTGGAGATGACTATAATCATTAGGCTCACTTATTGTTGTGAAAGAAATACGTATATTTTTGTGCGTATTATTTTTTTTAAAAAAATTATTAGCCTATATTAGTTGAATGCTCCAAAAAACTAATTATTTATTCCTTGGAAAGACATTGCTGTGCCAATTGATTCCTGGTTAGAATCATAATATATAACCACAGGAGTTGTAGATTAAAAAAATAAATAAAATCATGGCCTGATGAAAGACATTGCTGTGCTAACTGATTCCTGGTTAGAATCATATAACATGTAACAACAGGAGTTGTAGATTAAAAAGAATAAAATAAAATCATGACCTTAGTGTCTGCCACAAGAAGCTATATAAGCTGTTCCCAAGTATTGGAGGGGCCAGGAGCTAACCGCCGAAACAAGCACTGAATCATGCGGTGTGACAGAAAATAGTCGCAACCTCATGATGAAATTCGTTTGCATATTCATGCGTCCTTGCTGGAGGGCCGTGCACCGTGCTTGCCTTTGATTTGATGCAGTCCTAAATATCACACGTGTGTGCCAGTGCTACCTACGAAAACATTACATCCGTTTTAGGAAAATGTCACGGGCACCAGTGTGATCATCAGAGTGGTTAGCGCACATGGATCGATTGGCAATTGAGCCCCATGGATAGTTACAGGCATACTACTCCTTTCTTATTTATTATATATAATCTTCTGGGCTGTTTGTGACCAACTTCATATCGAGGGCATGTTTGGATACCATGTGTTAATTGTTAGCTAGCTATTTTTTAACTTAAAAATTAGCTCAAGTTCATCTAAACGGAGGGCTATTTTTTAGCTAACTCTTTAAGTAATTATTAGTAGTCAATTAGCTAGCCAACTATAATTTGAACTAAATTTAGCCCTGACTAGTAACTAGCCATTTGTATTAAACAACACCGAGTTTTAACAACTTCAAAATCATGTATGAAAGAGAAACGACGGTCCAGGAACGAGCCACCAGTTCAACCGTTTTTTTTTGTCCGGCACTATGATTAGGTCAGGTGAAACGGTGAAACCAGGGTCAAATTGAGTCCAAACGCCGAGCAGCTTATCTGTCAGTAAAAACAAGAAGGAAAGAGTAAAAGAGGGAAGGAAGGCTGTGCAGTTTTTTTTTTTTTTTTTTACCGAGGCGTGAGGCCGGCGTGGCGAGTTGGCGACGCGGGGATGTGCGTGCATGCCGGGTGTGGGTGTGCAGGACGCGGATCGCCGCCTTTAATCGGGCTCCAAGTGCCGATAAAAAAACCGCTTTCACCCCGGGTCTTTGACCCGTTGCAAGTTTATTTTTAATAATTTTAAACCTGGCTTTGGCGCCCCCCAGGTGTGGGTGTGGCGCCTCTCAAAAATCAGGCGAAGAAAGAAACCTGCTGCCTTGCCTGCCCTGCAGCGGCCTCCAATCTCGAGGAACATCCTCCTGGTCTTCGGTCTTCCCCAGGTCTCCCTCCATATCTTGTGCGTAAACCCTCTCTAGATTTGAACAGAATAAAAAATTTCTTAAGTTAGATTAGATTTGAACAAAATCAAATTTTCTTAAGTCTGATTATGTTAATAGAAAAATAGTATCACTGTTTATGCATCTAAATAGATTTACTATAAAAATATATTTTATGAATAAATGATATATTTATTCAATATCATAGATGCTATTGTTTTTTCTTTGTATAAATTCAGTTGAACTTAAATTATCGGACTCCTCGAAAAACAGGAATTGCACTCTTTTGAGGGGACGGAGAGAGACAGAGAGTATGTATCATACTGCTGTTATTTAATTAGCATATCCTTACCAAGTTACGAATTAAGAAGAGTGATTTTTCAATGTTCGTGCTGGAACACGGTAATATACGTAAATAAAATTCACTCTGGATTGGAAAAGATTCAAGGGGACAGCTCGTGCAAGGGGCAATATGATATTGTCGAACTCGCGAAATTCAACGTGGGGGGAGAGAGATAGATATCTTTAATTAGAGGATCGAGAATTCACGCCCTGGGCAGGGGGAATGTCTGGAGTATAGCGCTGGTAATTAAAATAAAAATATTAAAAGGAGCGAGAGCTAAAAGAAAAAGGAAAAGAGATTCCTTTAAGCACTGCACTGCTTCCCTGCCAAATTTTTATTTTGGTACCCTCCCTCTTTCTCTCTCTATCGGCGTGACGGGAAAAAGGAAAAGATGCAGGTTGTATTCTAGCGATAGAAAAACTAGCAAGGAAAAGAAAAGCTCGGAATCTCGCCTAAAGCATGTGCAGAAAGCCCTCAATTATTTGTGGTATACTCGCTGTTTCATTTTATCTGCTGACCTGACCATAACCAATGCAAGTATATAGAGTATAGACCCATTGGAATACAGGATTCCTTTTTTCATGTGAAGATGAACTGATTTCTCTGAAATTCAATTTGTATATGATTGCTGTGAAATTCAATTTTCTAGATAATTAAATATTCTAGATCTGAAATATCTTCTCTCTCTATTTAGTGAATAAATAAAACCAAGCACGCAAGCAAAAGAAGGCCGGGGATTGAATTGGAATGTAGGTACGGGACTGCTGCTTTCGGCGAATATTAATTAATATTATTACCAGATCGAAGAGATGGCAGGACTAAAGAAGGTTGCAGGAGGCAGCACGGAACCATCGTTTTCCGAGGAATTATTACGCCGGCGAGGCGAGAAGAAGAAGAAGAAGGGGCAGCGGGGCTCCACTCCACGGCCGATTCGATCGCCTCTCGTTCGTTTTTAAAGTACCACCAGTACCAGTAGGGTGAAGCACATCAGCTGGTGGTACTAGTGGACTACTGGTAGCGGGTAGCTAGCTCTTCTCCTCTCCCCCTCCTAGCTCGTGCATGTGTGCCAGGCTCCTCCGGCCCGGCTCCAAATCCTCCTCGTGCTTGCCGATGTCCGGGCGTTAGAGGAAAGCGGCACCGGTGCTCCGGCCATGGCCTCTCGCCCCCTCCGCCCATGACTGACCCCACCCCCACCACCCCATTCTTCTACTCCCTACTACACGGCTACTACACCCACGCACGCACATGCCTCCCACCCTCGATCACTTGCATTGAGCACCACGTCGTCGATCGGCCGCCAATGCTTGCATGCCACGACCCACCACCACAGCTACCTCTACCCTCGCCCTCTCGCTAGCTAGGATAGAGCTGACCATAGCTAGTAGCTACTGCCCGGTAGCTGCCAGAGCTCAAGCTCAGCTAGCTACGAGTCTGGGTGTTGGCCGCGCCTAGCTGATCGAGTACTTAGTTCTTGGTTGCTGTGCCATTGCAGCGGAGGCCGGGGAGGGAGAGTTGAAGAGAGGTTACCTTGCTTGTGTACAGATGGCGACGGCCAAGGAGGCCGCGGCGGCGGCCATGGACGCCAGCAAGTACGTGCGGTACACGCCGGAGCAGGTGGAGGTGCTGGAGCGGCTCTACTACGAGTGCCCCAAGCCGAGCTCGCTGCGCCGCCAGCAGCTCGTCCGCGACTGCCCCGTCCTCGCCAGCGTCGACCCCAAGCAGATCAAAGTCTGGTTCCAGAACCGCAGGTAATTAACCACGAATGCTTGCCGTTTTTATCTTCCCCGTTCGTGTCCTGCACTCCTGCTGCCGCCGTGGCGCCGCGCCGGCCGTCCATGACCCGAATCTCCATCGGCGTGCGCATGATGCACGCACGCAGGTGCCGGGAGAAGCAGCGGAAGGAGTCGTCCCGGCTGCAGGCGCTGAACCGGAAGCTGACAGCCATGAACAAGCTGCTCATGGAGGAGAACGACCGCCTGCAGAAGCAGGTCTCGCAGCTCGTCTACGAGAACGGCTACTACCGCCAGCAGACGCAGAGCGTACGCGTTTCTCTCTCTCATCGGCTCATCGCTCCACTCCCTCTCTCATCTTCTCTCCTTCCACTGCTGTGCCTGTGTTCATCCCACTGCCGCGTCCGCGGACGATGTTGCTGCAGGCGGGGCTGGCGACCACGGACACGAGCTGCGAGTCGGTCGTCACCAGTGGCCACCAGAACGTGGCCGCGGCGGCGGCACAAGCCCAGCCGCGCGACGCAGGCCCTGCTGGGTACGTACGCGATCCTTCTCCTTCCTTGCCAGCCAGCCCTGCTGCTTTTGCCTTTATTTTGACATGCTGCTTTGGCTGGCCTACCACCGTACCTAGCAACAACCTGCATCTGTAAGCGACATGGACGTCTCCTTGTCTCTGCAGGCTCATGTCCATAGCGGAGGAGACACTGACGGAGTTTCTGTCCAAGGCCACTGGGACCGCCGTCGAGTGGGTCCAGATGCCCGGGATGAAGGTTGGTTTGGTTACGGACGGCCTAGCTCTGAATTATATTGCTTTTTCCCCGTTCCTTCTTCCTTTGATGAATTGAGTGAGTGAGATTCCTCGTGCGGCTTAATTGCTCAATCTTTGTTGTCTCGCCATGGGCACCTGCAGCCTGGTCCGGATTCCATTGGAATCATTGCCATCTCGCATGGTTGTGCGGGTGTCGCTGCGCGAGCCTGCGGCCTCGTGGGTATGGAGCCTGCCAAAGTAAGCTCTCTTGATTTGCTTCACTTCCCTGCGTGTACCCTTGTGGCTCCTGAGTATACATAACTGAGTGCTGACTATTCAGGTTGCTGAAGTCCTCAAGGATCGGCCGCTGTGGCTACGCGATTGCCGATCTATGGAGGTGGTGAATGTTCTTCCTGCCGGTAACAATGGCACAATTGAGCTTCTCTACATGCAGGTTATTCCAGCTGCTTATTCTATAAAACTGATTGATTAACTCTAAGGGAATAGCCTTCTTACTTAGATATCATGTTCTTTTTTTTTTGTGTCTTTTTAGCTATATGCCCCCACAACGCTGGCGCCAGCTCATGACGACTTCTGGTTGCTGCGGTACACCTCCATTCTTGATGATGGAAGTTTAGTGGTGAGTGTCTGAGCGTCAAACATACATATGTGATTGTATATGTGCATGCATATATCCATCTGCCAGCTACTTGACTTTGCTTGCTCTAAAGGTATGTGAGAGATCACTCAGTACCAAGCATGGCGGCCCAAGCATGCCTCTTGTCCAGCCTTTTATCAGGGGTGAAATGCTTCCTAGTGGGTTCTTGATTCGGCCTAGCGACGGTGGAGGCAGTGTTATACACATCGTTGATCATATGGACTTGGAGGTAACGGAATCCAGATAATATAATTAATAACAGCTGCTGATATTTAATTTAAGTTCATCTGCAGCAGAAATTTAAGCTACTTATATGTGTTCTCAGCCTTGGAGCGTGCCTGAAGTCGTGCGGCCACTGTATGAATCATCTGCAATGGTTGCTCAGAAGATGTCAATGGCGGTACAACACCATGAACTTCAATCTCTGCTGTTGCTCTTACATGGCACATCAAATTTTGTGGACTGATTTTTTTTGTTGTTGCAAAATCCAGGCTTTGCGCTATCTTAGGCAGGTTGCTCATGAAGATACCCATTCTGTAATAACCGGATGGGGACGGCAGCCTGCTGCTTTACGGGCTCTGAGCCAAAAGCTCACCAGGTTGGGTTCTTGAACAGTACCTACAGAATGCTGATGGTTCTTGTCATGAATCTTCTTTAGTAACAGCCGTACATCTTCTTTCACTTTTTCAGAGGTTTCAATGAAGCTCTCAATGGGCTTGCTGATGATGGATGGTCTGTGATTGAAAGTGATGGAGTGGACGATGTTTGTATCTCTGTGAACTCATCCCCGAGTAAAGTGATCAACTACAATGCAACTTTCAATAATGGATTGCCTGTAGTCGGTAGCAGTGTACTCTGTGCAAAGGCATCGATGCTGCTGCAGGTTAATTTCACCTTACAGTTAGAATTTCTTTTTTATTTTTACAGTCAGAACATTCCGCTTTTTTGTTTTACATGAATTCTACCACTATTTGTTAGGATGTTTCTCCGCCGGCACTCCTGCGCTTTATGCGGGAACAGCGGTCGCAGTGGGCTGACAGCAATTTAGATGCATTCTTTGCTTCTGCAATGAAACCAAATTTCTGCAATTTGCCTATGTCTCGCCTTGGAGGATTTAGTGGTCAGGTCATACTTCCTTTAGCCCACACGTTTGACCCTGAAGAAGTAAGCTCCTATTCTACTTTGAACTGCAACTAATCGCTCCAATTTAACAAATCCCTTTTGCTTAATGTGTTCATTGCTTAATTTCTTTTGTCAGTTCCTCGAGGTTATAAAATTAGGAAATGCCAGTAATTATCAAGACGCACTCCTGCACCGTGATCTGTTTCTGTTACAGGTAACTTTTAGTTTCACTTATACATCTGTGTCATTGACTCTAGTTTCACCATGAACAAGAGAGCTTGAGTTGTAAAGTTTGATCTCTGTATAAGTTGTGTTCTCCACTGAATTGGCAGATGTACAATGGGGTAGACGAGAACATGGTAGGCACTTGTTCAGAGCTCATCTTTGCCCCTATAGATGCATCATTCAGTGATGACTCACCACTGCTCCCATCTGGTTTCAGCATCATTCCAATCGACGCTCCTCTTGTAAGTCCACCACTCAAAGGGCCAGTAGCATCTCAGCTTCAACTACAGATGAACTTTTCTTGATTTGTTTACCCTACAAATACATGTCAGGACACATCCAGCCCCAAGTGCACGTTGGACCTTGCCTCCACCCTTGAAGTTGGAACTCCCAGAAGCAGGATAAATGGGAGCGGTCCTGGAAATTCTGCTTGTGCTGGCTCAAAGGCTGTGATGACGATCGTGTTTCAGTTTGCCTTCGAGAGCCATCTGCAGGACAGAGTTGCAGCCATGGCGAGGCAGTACATGCGAAGCATCATCGCATCAGTTCAGAGGATCGCGCTGGCGCTCTCCTCCTCGCGCCTAGTTCCTCATGGCAGCAGCATCAGTCACAGTCCTGCTAGTCTGGAGGCAACCACGCTTGCCAGATGGATCTGCCAGAGTTACAGGTCTGTGGTCTGTATGTACTCTGATTAGCTAGTTTGTGTTCGAAATACTTGAATTTTATGCTGATGCTGCTTGCTTGTGCAGATTTCATTTTGGGGCTGAGCTTATCAAATCCATGAGACGGTAGCGGCTGTGAAGCAGTGCTAAAACCCTTTGGCATCATGCCAGTGCTATACTCTGCTGCTCTTTTGAAGGTTTGCCCTATTGCATCTGAAAATTACTTTTATATTGCAAGTTGAGAATTACACTCTGTCCTATCTGCAGACAGCATCTGATTTCAGAACTTACCTTGAAACTGTTTCACAGAAACTAGTCTCTGAATTTCAGATATAACATTCTAAAACGTTGATTGTGGAGTGAAACTTTCACCAATCTGGGATACTTATGTTTATGTCTGAAAGTGAGGAAAAACGGGTTTAACCCTCTCGCGAAAAAAAAATGTCTGAAAGTGAGGGCACGGTGACAGCTCAACATTTCTATAAATGCAGGCCTTGCCAGTGTTCACGTTCGCAAACCAGTCCGGCCTCGACATGCTGGAGACGACCCTGGTGGCGCTGCAGGACATCACCCTGGAGAAAGTGTTTGATGACCAAGGGAGGAAGAACCTGTGCGCGGAGCTCCCTGGCATCATGGAGCAGGGGTTCACGTGCATCCCCGGCGGGCTGTGCGTGTCCGGCCTGGGCCGGCCGGTGTCGTACGAGAAGGCGCTGGCGTGGAAGGTGCTCGACGACGACTGTGGCGCGCACTGCATCTGCTTCATGTTCGTCAACTGGTCGTTTGTGTAATGCATCTGCCTGGTCGTCGCGCTCATGGGAAATCGGTTGATCGGTGACATGTTTTAGGTTTCGAATCGCCCTTTAATTATTGGGATGTAAAATGGTTTCGGTTTTGAAGAAAAATATGAAATGGTAGAAGGACCTAAATAGCAGTATTGTACACGGATGGATCATGTGATGTCAAACAAAAATGATGATGAAGCTAACATGGCCCCTCCTTTATGGGTTTGATTAACGTATGTGTTAAATGTGTTAGACAAATATATATTTTTAGAACAAAAAGATTTTATTCCAGATTATGCAAGAGTTTTGCACTCAACCAATCTATTATTGTAATTCAACCTTTTGCTGGATTCAAAGAGCTCACAAAAAGCATAAGAAAAAAAGGAGACAAACTAGTAGAAGACAATCACCCATACTTGATGAAGATCTCTATTGCTGTAATTTCTAACATTCTACATGCCCATTTCACCGTATATATGTCTATTTTTCCTCTTTCAATAGGATAGATCATGGGCGCGTCTAGTGAATCAACATGACCAACAAACTTTTCCTCTTTCACCTTATGAAGGAAGAACAACCAATATCCGAGACAAACGGCGAAGAAACAAGCACTAGATCACGTCGTCAATAGATACCAGATCATATGGTGAAGGTCATATATAGAAGAAACACAAACATCACTGGACAATCCAACGCAGAGAAGAGATGGTCAACCAGACCATTCGGTGAAGGCTAAGAAGGGACTGCGAAGAAGTTCGTGGCACACGCAGGAGTGTCGGGCGATCCGGTGAAGGCAAGAGAAAAAGGCACCGGATTATCCTATGCAGAACATGACGTGCAAAGAGGGTTGGATGGAGCCACCGAAGACACGATGAAGGGGAAGTTCCATACCATCGAATCATTTGGTGATACGATCATGGCTACGTGCTCCTTCTGTATTGCTGCGGGGGGAAAAGTTCTAGAACTTCCTGGTAGCTCAATAATTAGCGAGTAGTCAGCTTTGTTTTTCGCCCTACGTAGTACCACTGTGATAGGCTGCGCCCCTCGCGCATGTAATTGACGGTGTTAATGCTTCTCCCTTCTTATTAATATGATCTAAAGTCGGGCAGCCGGATCTTTCAAAAAAAGAAACGCCTTTCACGAAGGCGACGACCTAGGAGAAGAATATGTTCTAGTGGCCGAGATTACGATGAAATCATAAAAAAAACATAATAGGAAATAACCAAACAAAATGTGTTGATCCTAACGATCGTGGCTCATACCTGATGTCTTTCATGGCAGCGATCTGGGAGAAGAAATATGGTCTAGTGGCCAAGATGGTAAAATCGCGAAAAAACATATTCGCTTTTGATACATGCAATTGGTCCATGATTCTCCAGCTAGTGTGCATGTGTGAGAAGCTTGCGAGCAGCACAACAAACATCGTTTGCCTTTTTCATCGTGAAGAAAAGCTGATCACAAGCGGAAACCAAACATAATTAGAATATGATCGACAACAGTGCAGTAGAGTGGCATGTATAGCAGGTCTGAGATTAGTAGGTGGCTGGCATCAGTACGTGATGGTTCCACAATTTGTTTGGAAAGGATTGAGGCGTGCCCATGGATGTCGGTACGATGGCGAGGCTAGACGGTGGTTGCTTGAGAGTTGAGACAACAGTGCTTGAAACAGACATCAATAGCACTAAGGTGAATCCAATGATGTTTTCAGTAAAATGGGCTACTAAGAATCTATACAAGATGATTAAAGAGCATGTTTAGATAGTTACCGCACACCGCCAAACTTTGTCTAATGTGTCCATAACTTAGAAAAGCTTTGGCAAGGTTTTAAGCCTATGACATATGAGGTCGAATCATGAAAAAGTGTGATGTGCCAAAACTTTGGCAAGAACCAAAAAAAAATCAGGCAGGCTGTGGAAAAGTGTTATAGTGAACTAAATAAACCCTTGAAATTTAAATTTTCAAGAGGGCTAAAGGACATAGCATGCAGTTTCAAGACTTAGTTGGATGGTGGCTTCCTTGAAGAAGAGAGCTCACCAAAGAGGAAATTTAAAACTATCTTGATTTAACGTCAGTAGAAATTGCAGCCATGGAATAGAAGTGGAAAAAAATAAAGAGAAGTGGGATATGACAATAATTTTTTTTAAGAGTAGTAGTTAGTCAATTATCGCATATGGACTTTGTGACAATCACTATTGCCATCCATCTGTTTCTCTAGAGTTTAAATTCCTGAGTAAAGTCTACCACCGGTCCCTAAACTTGCGCCACTATGTCATCCCGGTTCCCGTGACTTGCAAAAACTCATCTAGATACCTAAACATCGTTCGGGTCTCATCGTCCATCCAAACGGCCTGCTATCCGCCTCCTTCTCCCGCACAGCCCATTGCAGCGGGCGGAAGCGGGCTGAGGCTGAGCTCCAGCGGCATAGCTCGGGTCGACCAGTGAGCACCAGGCCGATCCCGACAACGTTGACGCGTTGATTTAAGGTGTCGGCCGTCACGGCCGTGAAGCCGGTGGTGAGGCCTCAGCGATAGCGTTGATGCAGAGCATGGTGGTGGCGGTCTCCGATGAGGCATTGAGCTCCGACGGACGCTATCATGCCGAGGCTAGAGGAAAGTGCGATGGTGCATGCCATGAGCTTGAGTTCATCTGGGCAACGCCTGTCTCTGGTGTTACTTTTACCAAGCATTCTGCATACGGGTGAACTCATGTGAGGCGATGGATCCAGAACAAGAGGCGAGTGTATGCAATCGTGTATGATATCTTGAAAGAAGTTTGGTTTGGTTTGCTCATGATGGGGCAGCTGTTGGCTAGCATTGGCATCATGGTGGCTGGTGGCGCTCTTGTACATCACAGAGCTCTCCCCGGCAACGCTGCGGGACTTCGTGGCGTCCTTCCCGAGATCCTCATCAGCTTCGGGATCCTCCTCTCGGCTATGTCTCCCAGACTCGACCTCGCCTATCGGGCCTGCCCAACCACATCAACTGGCATGTCATGCTCGCAGCCAACATCCTCCTGTCCATCTCCATTGCTTTCGTGTTGTTGGTCCTCCTCTCGGCACCGGCGTCGAGTGAGAGGTAGTGAGCGCCCATGGTGTGGTGTGAATGCCTAAGCAAGAAAGTGCTCTGGACAGCGGCAGCCTAAAGCGAGGAGGCGGCGTCACGACACGAAGGAATTGGTACGGGGTGGCCTGAGCAAGCAACGGTGGGTTGGTCGGCTGCTACTGCTTCCCGTGTGGGTGAGGCCGGTGGTAGCACAGGTGAGAAGGGGCAGCGGCCACCCAAGCACGGAGAGCAGTTACTGCGTGACTCATGGTGGCAATGGCAGCAGCGTCGTGTGAGGAGGAAGATGAGGTGGAAAACGTTGTTTAGGACCAGAATGACATGGGTAAATAAGGGTCCGTTTAGCACGGCTTTGGCTCGTGAAAAAAAGCAGTTTTGGCTCGCTCACATGGAAAAGCAGTTTTTCCGCTCTCGGCTTATTTTGTACGAAAACGTTTGGTAAAATGGCTTCTCTAGCTTCTTAGAATGTATAGAAGATGTCAATTGTCCAAAATACCCTTATATTTCTTTTTTCTCTTTTATTTTCTTTTTCTCTTTATTTTCCTTTTCTTTTCTTTCCTTTTTATTTCTCTTTCCTTTTCCCTTCTTTTCTTTTCCCCTCCTCTCTCCTTATCCGATTGGCATATCTTTCCTTCTCTCTCTCTCTCGGGCAGCGTCCAGGCCATCACCCGCGCCCCCACCTCTGGTCCTCTGCCCTCCACCTTCGGCCCCGCACCCCCACCTCCCGTCGACGGACGCTGCCGATGCTGCGCCCCGCCCGCCGCCATGGTCTCCACCGGCGCATCAGGCGCGTCACGCCGCCGCCGGTGCTCCACCCGCTACCAGGTTAGCCCCGCACCCGTGCCGCTCGGTCCCGAGGACAGCGATGGAATTGGACACGTTTGGATGGGGTTGAGCCGTGATAAGCCACTATTTTTGGCTTCTCGCGCGGGGAGGAATGCACTCACCGCGTTTTGCGGGGCTTCTGCCGGCTTCTGGTCGCGAGCCATCTCGAGGAGCCACCGTTTGGCACGGCTTCATCAAAAGCCGCTCGAGAAGCTGCTCGATGAGCCGTGCCAAAGGGGGCTAAGTTGGAGGACAACATAGAGACCCAATAGAACTAAAGTGAGATTCAAACATTGTTTAGTACCTAGATGACCATTTTTTCAGATTAGCGACCGAAATAACACAATAATACAAGTTTAGGACCGGCAGGGGATTACTCTTTTTGTTTAATCATGCCCCAGAAGGACCTGGTTCCGTCTCCGTGTTGTGCATTTATGCCACTGTCATGTGGACCGCTCAGCCCTGGGGCCACATGCAGTCACTGCTTGTGATCTGTGTGCAGTCGCAGCATCTTTGGTGAGCCAGGCACGACACGACGGTGAGGTGACGTTTGGATACGGGGAAATGTGGGGTGGGTGGGTTAGGGAAACGAGGGGAGAAAAATATCCTATCCATTGTGGATGTATGGAACAGGGATAGGGATAGGGAAATGATGTAATCTTTTCCCTAACCTGCAAACCTAATGGAGGGGGTGGGTTATGACCGAGCCCGCGTCGCTTCGGCGCCGGCCGCCGATGCCAGCGTCGCCTCGTGCTGGCGACCGAGGATGTGCGTCGCTTTGCCGCACAGGCCGCCGGAGCCCGCGTCGCTTCGCCGCGTAGGCCGCTGGAGCCAGCGTCGTCTCGTGCTGGCGACCGAGGCTGCGTGTTTCTTCGCCGCACACGCGTTGGGCGTTCTCCGCTACAGCTAGTCCGCACACGCGTCATGGCCGAGATCATCCTCCGCCTCCCACCGGACGAGCCCGAGCACCTCTTCCGCGCCGCCCTCGTCTGCAAGCCGTGGCTCCGCATCCTCTGCGACTCCGGGTTCCTCCGCCGCTACCGCGCCTTCCACGGAGCCCCTCCCTCCTCGGCCTCCTCCACAGGCTCACGGTCATCCAAGGAGACCCCAGAGCCCCGCCTC